TGGCTGTGGTGATGCTGCTCGTGAGTGATTGACAGCAGTCTCTGTGGCTGGCTGTGGTGGTGCTGCTCGTGAGTGATTGACAGCAGTCTCTGTGGCTGGCTGTGAAGATGCTGCTCATGAGTGATTGACAGCAGTCTCTGTGGCTGGCTGTGAAGATGCTGCTCATGAGTGATTGACAGCAGTCTCTGTGGCTGCCAGTGAAGATGCTGCTCGTGAGTGATTGACAGCAGTCTTTGTGGCTGGCTGTGGTGATGCTGCTCGTGAGTGATTGACAGCAGTCTCTGTGGCTGGCTGTGAAGATGCTGCTTGTGAGTGATTGACAGCAGTCTCTGTGGCTGGCTGTGGTGGTGCTGCTCGTGAGTGATTGACAGCAGTCTCTGTGGCTGGCTGTGGTGATGCTGCTCGTGAGTGATTGACAGCAGTCTCTGTGGCTGGCTGTGAAGATGCTGCTCATGAGTGATTGACAGCAGTCTCTGTGGCTGGCTGTGGTGATGCTGCTTGTGAGTGATTGACAGCAGTCTCTGTGGCTGGCTGTGGTGGTGCTGCTCGTGAGTGATTGACAGCAGTCTCTGTGGCTGGCTGTGGTAGTGCTGCTCGTGAGTGATTGACAGCAGTCTCTGGCTGGCTACGGTGGGCTTAAAGCAGCGGTGTGCTGAGTGGTGTGCTGCCTGGGAGCACAGCCAGGAGCAGAGCTTACACAAGCCTGCATGGCATGCCCACACAGCTCCAGGCCCTTCCAGGGGAGCTCTGCTGTGTTTGCTTCTCTTGAAAGCAACTCTGAACTTTAATATTCATATAACAAATGAAACAAGCATATATTTTTTATATTTCTCCTTAAAAGCTCAATTCATTTCAGTAAAGTAACTAAAAAAGGAAAATGCCATTCCAGTCACCTATGGAAATTTTTTTGTTTGTTTTTTTCAAGACAGGGTTTCTCTGTGTAGTTTTGGTGCCTGTCCTGGATCTCGCTCTGTAGACCAGGCTTCGAACTCACAGAGATCCGCCTGGCTCTGCCTCCCGAGTGCTGGGATTAAAGGTGTGCGCCACCACTACCCGGCTCCTATGGGAATCTTAATCATAATAAATAAATATTTATTTATGTAGTCTTACGTAGCTCAAGTTGTCTTCAAAGCTAATGTAACCAAGACTGTCCTTGAACTCTGATCCTTTGCCTCCACTTCCCAGCTGATGGGATTGCAGGTGTATACTACTCCAAAGTTCAGTTTTGATACGTGAACAGGAAAGTCACACAGGTAGATAGACTAGTCAGCTGGCACAGCACCAAGGTAAGGTGCATAGTGGAGGGGGGAGGGGGAGGGGGAGACGAGTGCTGCATGGGGCTGAAACAGAGTTCAAAACAGCTGTAAAGGGAGAGCAGTGAGGGTTCCCCAACCCTCCAGTCGCACTGAAGAATGAGTTGACCATTGTCGGCGAACACCTGAGAGACGTATCCTATGCTTATCCTGGCATCTCTTCAGTTACCACCTGTTCCTTGTTACAGGAGTGACAAGCTCACAAGAGGGTCAAGGTCAAGGTCATAGCCACTGAGTCACAGAACTGTGGTATCCAGGCTTCCGTATTTCTTGATCAGAGCTGCTTTTTTCTAGTTTACTGCTGCATTCTGACTTTGTATGTTTGTTTGTTCGGGTGTGCATACCACAGCGCTCATGGAGGTCAGAGAATGACTGCTGGGATTAAGTCTCTCCTTCCACTGTGTGGGGACTGAACTCAGCTCATCAGGTTGGTGGCGGGTGCCTTGACCTGCTGAGCATCTAGCTGGTCTAGGCAGGATGTTAAATCCTTGTCCAGCTTCTTCGTTTGATAAGAATCTTACTGATCATAGCTCTGTTAAAGTGAAATGTTGGGACTGGAGAGATGGCTCAGTGGTTAAGAATGCTTGCTGCTCTTCCAGAGAACTTGAGTTCAGTCCCCAGCATTCATGTCAGGTAGCTCATAACTACCTGTAACTCCAGCTGTGGGGGGTCAGATGTCCTCTTCTGCCCTTGGGCACCTGCACACGTGTGGCACACACACACACACACACACACACACACACACACAGACTTACTCCTGTACACATTTCTTCACAGGGAAAAGTGTTTCTGTTTAGAAAGCTAACTTTCTGTCTTAGGGTCACATGCCGACCATTGAGCTACTGAGGAAATACCACCTCATGCAGTTTTCAGAAGTGACCAAAGCTGTCAGGTAGGTCCATCCTCTGCACCGTTTTAGGAAGGTGGCTAATGGAGATGGCACACATATACTAAAACCATGTTGCCCTCTCTTTCTGGGGTTTCGCTGGGGCCCCGTGTGGTGTTTCTCCTTGCTCAGTGAGGGCAATCTGCTGCTGCTCAATGAGGCGCTGGCCAAGCACGAGACTTTCTTCATCCGCTGTGGCATCTTCCTCATCCTGGAGAAGCTGAAGATCATCACTTACAGGAACCTCTTCAAGAAAGTGTGAGTGCCTGGGGAGACGCTCGGTTGGCGAGGTGCTGTTCTGCAGCATGTGCGCTAGAGTTGGAACCCCAGAATCCTGTGAAAGCTGGAAGCTTGCAGACCAACTGGCCTGGTAGATGAGGTGTGAAACAGTAGTGATGAGGAGATCCTGGATCAGCAAGGTGGAAGGCAAAGGACTGACAGCTGAGGTGGTTCTCTGACCTGCACACACGCCTGCATTCTCACAAGTGTGCAGACAGCATGCACATAGACACACACACACACACACACACACACACACACACACACACACACACACACGCAGAAAAGCAAGTGGGGTGTCTACCAAAAGGAATCCTTGGGGCAGATGATGCAGCCTGTGGGGGCAACATCCTGCCCCTCATCGGGCAGAAGCTGACTCCGAAGGCCAGTATGATGACATAGCTGGGCAGCAGGTTCAACATTAGCTTGGGGTGCCAGACACCTCCTGCCTGTCCCAGCTCTGGAGCAGACGTCCCCTTTCCTTCCCTCCCGCCTGTCCCAGCTCTGGAGCAGACGTCCCCTTTCCTTCCCTCCTGCCTGTCCCAGCTCTGGAGCGCACGTCCTTGTTTCTGTCCCAGCTCTGGAGCGGATGTCCTCGCTCCTTCCCTCCTGCCTGTCCCAGCTCTGGAGCGGATGTCCTTGTTCCTTTCCTCCTGCCTGTCCCAGCTCTGGAGTGGATGTCCTTGTTCCTTCCCTCCCGCCTGTCCCAGCTCTGGAGTGGACGTCCTTGTTCCTTCCCTCCCGCCTGTCCCAGCTCTGGAGCGGACGTCCCCTTTCCTTTTCTAGCTCAGCAGCTGACTTATCCTCCCTACCCCTGTGTGTGTCAGGGAATTAATGTGATGGTTCCTTTTCCTGGGTGTGAGCTGAACACTGGCTCTCCGATGCATAGAGACCTTGAATCTAGCTGATGGCAGTCTATCAGGAATAGTAAGGAGGAGCTGAAATCACAGAATATCTCAGAGTTGTTGACTTGTGATAAAGTATGCATTGAAGATTTAATGAAATATTAAATAATCTAAAAAATCCTATTAGTACAGGGGTGTTTACAGTAGAAAGCTTAGGTACTATTGTATTCTATAGCTGTTACAATTTGTGGGGTGCGTTTTAGGGTGTATATAATCAGTGGGAACTTAAAATATGTGTGAGCATTGGTTCATTAAATGATGTCATTTCTTCCTATCCTGCTCAGGGCTGCTTTTGTTGGTCTTGAAGTTCTGAGTCCTGTTGATGATTATGGTGATTTCGCTTCCTCTGTAGGTATTTGTTACTCAAAACTCATCAGCTGTCTCTAGATGCCTTTCTGGTCGCCTTGAAATTCATGCATGTGGAAGACGTGGACATAGATGAAGTCCAGTGCATTCTGGCCAACTTAATATACATGGTGCGTGAGTCTGCCTGCTCTCAGCAGGCCTCCAATGCGGTGCTAATGTAATCAGAAGACCTCCTCTCTTTGTGAAGGCATTTTCTCATAGAACCAATTGTTTTCCTGGGAAATACTATTCAAAGGGCCTCACATGGGTCAGTGATGAGAGAGAGGTGTAACCTCTATTTTCCTATTCTCTGTCATGTGTGTGTTAAGCTGCTGTCCCCAGGGAAGAGTTTTTCATCATCATTGTGTCACCTGGCATATTTGATGTGACTGAGACTCAGAAGTGTAAGCTGATCCGGTTCTCTGTTTCAGGGTCACATCAAAGGCTACATCTCCCATCAGCATCAGAAACTGGTTGTGAGCAAACAGAACCCTTTCCCTCCACTGTCCACCGTGTGCTGACGGCCAGGGCTGCAGGTGGGCTGCAGTCCTGCTCCAGCTGTCCACTGTAGCCAGCCCAAGCCTTTGGTGCTTCCCGGGACTACTGAGGCAGTCACCATCATGAGTGTCTACCCATGCTCTCCACGGTCCTAACTCAGGCCAGCTTTGCCAAGACCTGGAATCCTTTTTCTGGATGGACAAACACCCCTGCTGCCGGCTGCTGCTTGTGAACTACCAGGAAGCAGGCAGCTGGGCTTCAGTTTATTTGTTGTTTATGGAGGCTGTCTTTGTAATATTTTGTAGCTTTATCTTTACAAAACACATTGTTTATTGTATGTTATATGATATGTCTATTTTCATATGCAGAATCTGAGCAATTTGTCAGCTCAAAGTGGTTGGTTAACTTGACGTTTCTTTTTAAAAAGGGGAATTTGGGGCCTGGAGGGATGGTTCAGCGGTTAAGAACAATTACTACCCTATCAGAGGACCTGGGTTTGGTTCCCAGCACCCGCATGGCAGCTCACAACCATCTAGAACTCCAGTTCTAGGGGATCCGATGCCCTCATCTGGCCTCTGTGGGCTCCTGTACATGTGTGCACGTAAATTCACTCAGGCACACAGACACACATAAATAAATACATCTTTTTTAGAAAAGCGGAATTTAGTGTGATACAAGTTTTTCAGCTCTGACTTATTTCTTGACTGTTGTGAAGGCTGCGGGCCTAGGACCAAGGCCCTGCAGTAGGGCTCTGGTAACGGCCTCTGCTGAGCTGCAGTTGGCCGTGCTCTGCCTGTGTCCCTTTTCCCGCGGCCACTGTGCTGTCAGACCCTCACTCTGCAGCTGCATCTAACTTCACCACTGTAGAGACCCTTCCTCCGGCCTCAGCCGAAGTTTCTCCCGCCGCACTGGAAACATCCCTGTTTCTCAGAGTGCGTTTCCTCCGTGGTGGTGCTGCTTGCACGCTTGTTGTTTTGTGTCATTTGTTTGTTTATTGAGGTGGGGTCCTTCGACATAGCCTGGCTGGAGCTCTGTGTAGACCGTGCTGGTAGAACACGATGCTCTTCTCGCCTCTGCGTCCCCTCCAAGGGCTTGGGTGTGTGCCTGTGGGAGGCTTACAGTCCCCTTGTCGATGAGGAGTACACTAAGGAGGACAGGCTAGCTATCTAAGGTGTCGTGTTCAGAAGCTGTCCTCGTGCAGATGAGCTGTCGGGGAGCCTCTGTGTCCTCCATGGGGGCACAGAGAGCAGGACTTGCCTGTATGTGGCTGCTTCCTCAGCATCCTCCTGCAGCGGCAAAACCACCCAGCACCCCGAGATTGCCCAGATCTGAAGCCTGGTCAGCACTTGGTGGGGTTGGCCTCTGCTCCACGTGATGGGGAGTATGGTCCTGGGGGCTAGAAGGTGGCTCACTCCTGTGATAGGTGTGACACACGGCTCAGTGGGATGTGGGCGGACAGCTCGGGTTCTCCTTGTGGCAGCTGACGCTGGGTTCCAGGACGGGGCCAAAGGAAGTGGTCCCTTGTGTGGCCTTGGGTTGTGAGCTGTACCACTTTCCGGCTGAGAACACCACCTAAGCCACACACTGGCTGCGGAGCAGTGTGTCCGTGGGCTGTATGCCCCTGGTCATGCCCACCCAGCAGCCCAGTGTGCAGAGAAGCTGTCTGGCAGTGGAGATGGCCCCTAGCTGGCAGAGCTGGTGAGCCCCACCAGGGCTGGGCTTGCCTTCCTATCTCCTTTGTGTACGTGTCTGGCACTGTCCTCATGCAGAGCTATTATGCAAAACTGACCCTGCTCTTCAGCAGGGTGCTTAAGTACCCCCAACTTCTGATAAAGTGTTATCCTTGCAATGACTCAAACATTGACGTTCCTATGAGCATCCTGGATCTCAGTCTTTTGAGTTTAGTAGCAACAGAATCAAATTTTCAGGTGTCTCCAGGTAGTTTATTAAAAGTGACATCCCAAGTCAAACATGGATGGTTCAAAGTGGTAAACAGTTGAACCCGGCAGTTAAAGAAATGACCTCTGTGTAGCATCTTTGTATGTTGTCTCGAGTCCTGTGTGTGGAGTTGTGGTTTCTGGGCACACAGACCCATATGTTACTGTGGCTAGTTTACATCAACATTCAAATGCTCACACCCAGTTCTTGCCTAGGGGCACACTAGTCTGGCCTCTTATAATTTATATTTTGAGACAAGGTCTTACTCTGCAGCCTAGGTTGTCTCCACACTTGGGACCTTCCTGTCTCGGCCTCTCAAGTCCTGGGACTAAAGGCAGGGTCACATCATCACAGCCACACTCCTCTCAGAGATGAGGGTACCAAGGCACAGCCTTGACCACCACATGACTGAGCTGAGAGGTTCCAGCACTCCCTGGAACCTGCTGAGGGGCTTTTCTTCACCTAGAGTGTCTAAGTACAGCCTTATCAGGAGGCCCACGGTTGTCTTCCAACTAAACCTGCTTCTCTCTCCCAACAGTGAGCCATGCACCATCAGAATTAGGCTGCCTTTGCTGTCTCACTGGTAATTCTGAGATGCCTCTGTCCCAGAGATGTCTGTTCCAGTGTGTGTCAGACCACCTATGACAACCACATGCATTCACAGCCCCTCACCGCTCAGTAACTCAGCTGGTTTATGACTGACACTGATTTTATTTAACATACCCATTTTTTTTTCCCCCTTAAGGCCTCTGGTTAGATAAAAAATTACCCAGGAAACTCCCTGCCAGCTAGCTTTCATGGTGCTGGATGGTGCTGTGCCAGCTGCAGCAGAGCAAAGGCATCAGTGGTCTCAACCCAGTGCTGGACCCCAGTCCACAACACTGACGTGCCAGCCAAGATGTGCCCACTGGTACAGTCATGGCATGGCTACCGTGGGATAGTTAACTGCTTTCTGGTCGAGTTTGAGGCCTGCTCCACAGGAGGGATTTCATGCTTGGAACTATAATCTTGGCCAAAAGCTCCTGGCTGGGGCGGTCACAGGCCCTAGGGTAGAAGCTGCTATTGTTACTTTGCTAAACAGCCGTGTTAAAAATCGTCTTCTAAGTATTTGTGTTTACACCCATAGATCTGGACCGTTCTCCAGCTTGGCCAGAGAAACTTCTTTTTATAATAGGCAGCAGTTAATGCAAAGATACATAACTGGTCCCAGTGGCTGAGAAAGGGGGACTGAGCGTTCAGTCCTGAGTGCAGTATCCTAATGAGCTCTCCCCATCCCCTCACACCCTCACCTCCAAGGCCCAGGGGACTTTGTGGAAGAGAAGCAGGAAGAATAGACAAGCTGAAAAGTGGTGGGGAGCGCCATGAGACGCTCAATCCGGACATACATGATGAGTTCACTTCCAGACTCACAGCAGCTGTAGTGACCTGTTCAAGACTGCACCAGGTCAGGCCAGACGAGATTCTTGCCTAGATGGGGTGGGTGGGTCATGCTCCATGCCCCACTCCTTGCTGAGGCGCTATTGGCAGTTGACAGCTGCTGGGGGAGGCACTCCAGTGGACTGCCCCCCACCACACCCAGAGCTGGCTGGAGCTAGCTTCGCGGGCTCTAGCGGTGAGATGATCTCCCCTGACTCCCCATCGTAACACATATGCATGGGAGGTAGCACTACCGGGACTTACTGGTCCATCAGGAAAAGACATGAGGGGAATATAAGGCGGGCAGCAGAAGGGAAACGGGGCAGCGACGTGGCCGTGTTTCATTGTGTGTGTGTATGGAATTCCTAAGAATAAAGGAAAGTTTAAAGTTCCAAGGAAAGAGACATCGCCTTCCAATGTTAACAGAATCTGACCACCTCTTAGCCACGTTGTTGGATTTCAGTTACTTCATGATCTGTTTAAACCACATCGAGTATCTTGGGACTGTGGTGAGGAGGAACACGTGTGACTGCCCTGGTGGCAGCAAACCCAGGATCCCCGTGAGGAACCAGGTCCCCTTGTGTTCTCGGGTCACCACACTCCCCTCCACCCAAGGCCCAGTCACCACGCTGCCCTTCTCACAGCTTGTTCTTGTTGTGACAGTCACATTCAGGGTCTGTCCACATTCCTCCCCACCCACCTGTGTGACCGGAAGCATCATGGGTGTGGTATCCAGGTCTGTGCCATTGAGCGTCCAGCCGCTGAGGACACCCTCTGTTCCAGGGATGAGGACATGCTCGGCAAAGTCCCTCTCTGGGACGCAGACAGGGAGCCCTGAGCTGGGACAGTGCAAGGGTTTCTCTAGTTCCAGCAGTGCGAGGTCATTCTCCCCTGACTCCTTATCGTAGCGCATGTGCACGTGAGTGCTCTTGATCCCAATCCTCTGGGCAGCATCTGAAATCATGAGCAACCAACCGAGTTAGTCTCCAGGAACTGATTTCTCAATGTAACCCTGATGGGGGAGAGGCAGTGTTCTTCTGGGACTTGAATGCAGATCACAGCATGGGCCGGGTCAACTCATATCCCTGGCCTCTTCACACTGTCCTCTAAAAGAGTCAGATTTTTATTCTGGAACACAGGACAGCATGGGGGCTGGTTAGAAAGCAGGAAGCGGTGAAGAGGAACGTCGCCAGGCCAGTCTGAACATGGCCGCTCGGGACTTACCATCACGGGGTTAGTTCTTTCAGGGTGAGTCTGGGCCTGGGTGTTTAAGGATAAAGAGTGAGACATGCTCACTTCAAAGCTCACATTGGCTGTTGAGCACAGCCATAGCTGATGATGGGAACTTCCCAGTGGGGAGAAATGATTGTCCAGGCTTTAGAGATGGAAAATGAGATACAGATATGTCCCGAGATGATCCAGGGTTGCAGCCCAAGATCATAGGGAGGAGGGATTTGAACCCAGCTCCTCTGGCTCTCAGCCAGCCCTCCTTGTCCAGGTGGTTGCTCTACTGCTGCGATTTGGCCTGTGCTGGATGCTACTTAGCATTGGCTCACTGTGTCCACATTCTACTAGGTATGTCTTCTTTTGTATATGCATGTGATTTTACAGCTACCTCGGTGTTACTGAAGCTATTTCATGTCTTGCTTTAGAAACAAAATTTCTAGTTGAAAAATTTCCATGTTATTCCTGTTGGATTATTCTTTTTATTTATAATGAGATCTTATAACATTCATGAAAGAAATACTTACTTGCTTTGACACTAATGTTGTTGTGTAGTAATGAGCACTTTGCTGTGGTCAACACGAAGTCCTCCTGGATTAAAACACCACCACAGAAGTCCTTTCCTTTGGAATCTGTTAACTTGACCTTTAAAAAACAGAAAATGGCTGTTAGCGGCCAGTGTAAGACTAGAGAGCAGTAAAGCTGAGTGGCCAGTGTAAGACTAGAGAGCAGTAAAGCTGAGTGGCCAGTGTAAGACTAGAGAGCAGTAAAGCTGAGTGGCCAGTGTAAGACTAGAGAGCAGTAAAGCTGAGTGGCAGTCGGGGGCACCAGGGACAGTCAGTCAGCGTCCACAGCGCACTGTTTCTTCAGCGCTCTGACACCTCAGCCAAGGTTCAAGGAAGTGACAGCTGTCAGATTTCCCTCCCCCTGGAACAAGGAAAGCAGACAGATTTGAAGGGCTGGTCACCAGGGACCGTGATCTTCCAGGGGCCAGCGCTTTGTGACTCCCAAGTTTGCATGGCGCAGTTCAGGAAGGGTAACTCGGGCAGAGTCCAGGGTGGCGAGGGCCTGGAGAGCACCAGGAGACACAGTGGCTACAGTTGTAGGGTGGATCCTAAAGGGTCGACTGGGGAGCTGCAGGCTCTCCTGGTTTTCAGGGGTCATATTGAGCATGTGAAGAGAAACTACTTAAGGCCAGGGAAGCTTACCCTAAAGGGTTAGAGGGGACAGTTCTGGGGCCCATGAAGGCTGCAATAGTGTTCTATACCAGCCAGTTGAAAATGTGGCCAAGCATTTGGTAGAACACAGTAGGGTCTTGTCTTTGTAGGGAAAGCTAGAGAACCAACCCAGAACACTGCACTGGCCTTCCCCAGGAAAGCCTAAAAGCAAGCTGTAATTGGATTAAGCTGTTCCCAGGTATCCTAACCATGGTCCAGAGCATCACTGAAGTTTATTTATAGAGCATAAAGCTTTCTGTAACTAATTGATTATAGTTCTGCAATTCGCTAATAGTCACCAGGCAGAAAAATAACACATGACTATGTTCCATATTGAGGAGAAAAATCAACCAAGCTGACTCAGAATTGTTAGGTGCAGACAGGATGATGGAGCTGACTCAGAACTGTTAGGTGCAGGCAGGATGATGGAGCTGACTCAGAACTGTTAGGTGCAGGCAGGATGATGGAGCTGACTCAAAACTGTTAGGTGCAGGCAGGACGATGGAGCAGCAATTATTATTCCAGAACCCCAGAGAAATAAGCAGAGACAAAGCAGAGAAAAGGTTTAAGTTGTATGTAGATGATGACTACAGGGTGTGGGTTGTGGGATTCACATCAGATTACATGCAGCAGATTAAGACAGAGAGGAGCCTGAAACCTTACCCACCCCAACCATGTTCACACTCCCAGGTCTAGCTGGGGTCATGCACAGCCTGATAAATGTTAGTTCTATCTTCCTTTTGCAGCACATGGAGACTGTTACAAAAGTCCACAACTGGTCAAAATACAGAGAATCAACGGCTGTGGGGTCCCCAGACATAATCGATACATCTTCAATGCAGCCCCTATACCTAAGGCCCAGGGGAATTTCAGGAAAGAGGTGGAAAAAATAAAAACACCCAGACCAGGATGCCTGTTGTGAGATAAAGTGTTCTAGACACAACAGGGAAGCTACATCCATAAAATCTCAGTAGTGCAGTTGCTAAACAAGACATGCATAATGACAGCACCAGCTGACGTGCTAATGTGGGTGGAGAAATTTCACAAAGCCCCACCCTTAAAGAACAGCCCATTGATGAGTACTGAGAAAGGAAGAATCGGTTTTCTCCAGGGACGAGCCCCCTAATAGGTTATCCCATGTGGTCAGCCCTAAACACACGGACCTATGAGGTGTGTGTTCCCCCAACTCCCTCTCAAATTCATGACCTCTTCCTCGCTACACACACACACACACACACACACACACACACACACACACTACTGAGTCCATTTGATGTTGCTCATATATATATATATACATATAGAGAAAAGGGAAATTTGACATATTTTATATTTATAAATACTTAGTATATATTTGGATTGAATTAAAACATTACAATTATTGATTTGGATTGAATTAAAACATTACAATTATTGTCCCCTGTTTTTACTTATATTAGTGTGACTACCGGAAACTTCTTAGCTGCCTGCATGGTGAGTACCATACCCTTCTGAACAAGGCTGCTCTATGGGACATTAAGATCTAGAGGTCAAAGGCTGTCATGGTGACCCAAATGGTGAACAAGGTGGCACACAGGGACATCAAAGCCAAGATGGGGCATAAAACCACGAGACAAAGCAAGACCCGTGTGGCCGGGTCACAAGCAGAGCAAGCGAAGACTAAATTAGTGACCAGGTAGCTGAGACCTACAGTGCGTGGCATGGAGCTGGGGACAGGGAGAAGTTCTATATATTAATCACATCGCTCTAGATAGGACTGATACCTGCCCAGAGCGACTGTCCCGAATGCTTCAGTTCTAAGTCAGTCAGTGGACAAGGAGAGCAAAGAGAAATGCGAGGTGAAACGGAGCAGCTTGGAGTCCAGGCCAGGGAGTGGTGGGGGAGGTGTGTGTGGATCAGAGGCTGTGCACAGATAACCATGTTCCTGGGACCGGGCCATGGCACAAGGCATAGCCTGGTGGCTGTAACCAATGCACACTTCTAAGGTGGAGCAAGTGCCGTAGAGGGCCGAGCTTGTGCTCCAGGAGAACCCATGGAGCTCAGGAAAGAGTTTGTTCCCAATTCCCTTGGTCTTCATCCATTTTGGGCCAGAAAGGGGAAATGACAGATGGAGTTTGTAACAGGACAGAAGTTGTTAGCAGATGCTGTTACCTGCCACGGGAAGCTAGGTGGATCCTGGCCGTCTTTTTCCAGTGTCCTGATGTGTTTGGAAGTCAGGGCCCCACAGGCACATTTGTCTTCGTTTGCGGTGGCAACATGAGAAGAAAATCAGTGTTTTCCGAGTGGATGTGGGATCTACCGTGGTGGTAGCCAGAAGTCTCATCTGAATGCTGGCAGACTCGAGGTCATTGGTGGACATGGGGAGCAAGGCAAAGCTGAACTGCCAGCTCCCAGGCTTATTTAGGGGGCGGTTTGGATAACAGAGTCATGGGCCTCCTGACACAAAGCACTTCCGGCACTCTGGTTGCTCTAATGTGGAGGCCAGAACCCCGAGTCAGCAATTACATCCCACTAACCACGGCACTCCACCCCGTAACTGGGAGGAGGAAGGAAGGGGCCGTGGAGGGTGAGATGGCCCGCCTCTGTAGGAACTCACCACTTGGACTGCATGATTTGCGGTCCGTTCCCAGCTTGTAGCCCTTTGCACAGCTGCACATGTAGGAAGACTGCCCTGGATGGCAGAAGTGCTGGCACCCGTCGGTCCTCTCGAGGTGACACTCGTTTTTAGCTGAAAGGGAAGAGAAAGCTAAAACCAGCCATGCTGATGTGGAATGGTCAGTGTTGTTGTCTCCTTGTGCGTGGGTCTGGCTCGCCTGGCCCAGTGTTGCTTGTATGTTACATGTACATAAATAAATAAATAAATAAATAAGTAAGTAAGTAAGTAAGTAAATAAATAAATAAATAAATGAATGAATGAATGGATGAATGAATGAATAAATAAATAAATAATAAAAACATGGAGCTACATCCACAGTCCTCACTCTCCCCCGCTTGCCAGTTTCCATATAAAGCTTCCCACACTCAAGTGTCCCAGGTATGTCCATGGAGACACAGTGAGATGGCGCCTCTGTTCAGCCTCAGGAAGAGTCACCCCCAGTCCTGGACATCTGACTGGTATCGCATCTATGTCCCTAGCTGTTTCCTTTCCCACTGCAAAGGCTGCAGTCTTTGGATTGTTCCTTCAAAGAGCAGAAAGGGGACCAAGAGGTGGGTCAGAGACCAGTGTAGGCAGCGGAGCGGCTGAGGTGAGACACCCATAATGCATTGCCCGGGAGGTGGTGGTGTGGGAATCTGGAGTTGGGAGCAAAGATCTGGGCTGAAGAGCCTTTTCTCCCAGAGAGCTGCTTCTGAGCTACAGTCACAGGAAGAGTGGCATGCATTTCTTTCTGTTGTTGACAATTATCAGGAATTCATTCCCTTGGCCCCATGAGGTCATTTGCATTGTGCATTTAAGGACTTTTCTTAGTCAGGCCTTGTGGTACAGGTGTCTATCACAGCTGCTCTGAAGCCTGAGAGGGGAGGATCATTAGGACTGAGGCCTGCCTGGACTATATAGCAAGTTCCTTTATTTTTATTTTTTATGTAGAGGGGTGTTTTGCCTATATGTGTCTGTGTACCGTATGGGTGCAGCACCCACAGAGGCCAGAGCAGGTGTTAGATCCCCTGGGACTGGAGTTATAGAAGGTTGTGAGCTGCCATGTGGGTGCTGGGAATCAAACCGGGAAGAGCAGCCCATCCCATATATTGAGACCCTGATCAAAAATAGAAAGTAAAAAGGACTGGAGATGTAGCTCGGTGGGAGAGTGTGCCTGCCTGTGTGAGACCCTACATTCAAACCCTACAGCTTTAGAAGGGGGTAGTGGGCTATTTACTTATGAAGCTTTGCTTTGCTTTTTCTCTCTCTAGAGTATCCCTGACTGGCATGCCAGTCCGACACATCTGTGGGCACCCCTTCCAACTTGTGTGCAGATTGTGGATTGGGGGGGATGGTTGGGAAGGGGGAGAAAAGGAGACCCTATGCTATGAAAATTTCAAGAGGGCTAGGGCTGGACAGTGGGTCACAGAGTGCAGCCAGCACCTGTGGCATGATTTCTAGGGGTGGGGTGGAATAGGGGAACCAAGGAGTCCCCTGAGATGAGTGTATCAAAGTTCCCAGGGCACCCTTTCCTGCCTGAGCAAGCTGCTCTCCCAGCGAGCCCCATCCTTGGTTGAGAGTGGGTGGAGCCTCCTCCATTGCGCAGCTCTTGCCCTCCCCCATCCTGGGTTGAGAGTGGGCGGAGCCTCCCCCATTGCACAGCTCTTGCCCTCCCCCACCCTGGGTTGAGAGTGGGTGGAGCCTCCCCATCACGGGTTGAGAGTGGGCGGAGCCTCCCCATCCTGGGTTGAGAGTGGGTGGAGCCTCCCCATCACGGGTTGAGAGTGGGCGGAGCCTCACCCATTGCGCAGTTCTTGCCCTCGTAGCCAGGGGAGCACGTGCAGCTGTAGTTGCGGATGTAGTCCTTGCATATCCCGTTGTTGAGGCAGGGCTGGGAGATGCATGGAGAACCTCCTATGGAAGCAGAAGGGCCTCTGAGCATGCACTGTGGACTCCTTGAGTCAGGACCATCCTAAGCTTGCTCCACTAGGGAAGAGGAGATCAAGTTCCGGGTGCTTCCTGTCCCATTGGGTGTCATGTGCCCCCAACCCCCGTCTCTCACCATTATTATCACGCACCCCAAGATCTTCCACTCATTTCAAAGTGCGTCCTTGCTTTCACCCACCCTGTCTTCTCCATTCACTTTCATTCTCTTTCTGTTCACACCTACCCCATGCTCTTCCTGAGGATAGCTTACAGAGCAGCTCCCAAGACAAACATCTGGGTTACAGCTGCAGTTCTCAAATCTGGCCCATCTCCTGGCTGACAGCATGCCCTTCCCAGATGTAGGATGAGCTATGAGGTGAAGTAGGGCTCCTGTCTGTTTTCTGAACCTCAGCTGCCTAGGAACTCACAGACATCAACACAATGAAACCAGAGGCCTCACTGTGGTCTTGTTAGTGGGAGCCTGGGGACCAGTGCCCTTCCCCGGGCAGACAGCAGGTCCCAGGAACCACAAGTTTAGAATGTGAATCCATGGGCCCCAGTGGAGACTGTCCTGAGTCTCAGCCCAGGCCAGAAAGCTGAGAACGCACTTACCATTGTACTGTTTCCAGAATCTTTCCTGCCAAAGCAAAAGGTAAGAACATTACCGTGGGGTCTTTCTGTATTCAATCTACCATGGATGGACTCAGGGGTAAGAAAACATGGGTTTTACTCACTCATCTGGAGGATGTGGACTTTTTCTGTGTGATTTAACAGCCTGTTTACATTGAACAGGAGTGGAATACTACCAGGCTACTTACCGTGTCTCATGGAGAGGGAGGATGTTGTGTGTGAGGACACAAAGCTAGCTACAGCGCCTCCTTCCTGGCTGCTTTCTACCTCACTCTACAGAAATGCCTGGCGATTGTCTGAAATCCCCGTCTTTTTTAAAGTTATAAGTTTAAAGGTTCGTGGGGGAGGCTGGAGTGGGACATCCACATGAGCTACTCAGGCGTGTGGTGTGTCCCCAAACCATACTCGAACTTCCTAATGATGTGTGGGTGACGTCATGATCACTCTTCCCCTCACTCAGGAAATCAGCAAATTGAAATTTAGGGTGGGCTACTTTAAAAACTTTTATTAAATGACAGATGGGCTGTTTCAGAAGGATCCTCTATACTGTATGAATCTTTAAGAAACTATAACTAAAAAAAAATTTAAACACTCTATGGATATGTTTTATTCACAACCAATTTTAAATATTGCTACATTAACGTGTAAAACTACTTCAGTGCTATAGAGATTGAACTAGAACTGCACGCTAGACCAGCCCTCCACCACCGCGCCTCGCCCCAGCCTGGGGGATTGTTATTAAATATTTTACAGCTATATTCTGAAGTACTTACATGAAAATAGTCACCGTTCCCTAAGTTTTGGCTCCCTTTCTCTGTCTTCTGATAATCTTATGAGTAATTAAAAATGCCAAATGCTTACCTGATTGTTAGTGTCCGTGCATGTGTGAGAAAAGGATTCACCTAATCCAGACCATGGATTATGGAAATTTCTCTCTCTCTCTCTCTCTCCCCCCGTGTGTGTGTGTGTGTGTGTGTGTGTGTGTGTGTGTGTGTGTGTGTGTGTGTAAGGGAAGAGTTTTGTCTTTCTAAAATTCTCCCAACATGTGCCAACAGTGGATTTTGGCAATTTGGTTATGATGTGGTGGGCAGGCCTCCCCAGCTAGGTAGCCCAGCAGAAGGAGTCTAGAGTGTGGTCCCCACCTGCTGCTGAGGCCCGCTTGCTCTCACCTCTAAGTCTGCCTTCTCATCTGTGAAGTCAGCCTCACACCAACCCCACCACAGGAAATGGGCGAATTAAACCTGTTCCCTGAGACAGCTGGGCCCGAACAATTAGAAAGCACGCGTGCCCTGTGGGGCTCGCGGGGGCTTGCGGGGGGGCCTGTGGGGCTCATGGGGGCTCACGTACAGTCACGACATCATCTTCAAACACTTCTCTCGCTTCCTCATACTTGCAGATTTCCTCATAGCATTCCTTTTCCAAGTTGCCCTCGAAGATTTCTTCCAGGAGATAAGAACCAGCACGTCTCCATCTCACCAGAACTTTGTTTGCCTCCGAGGCTGGAAGAAACACTGCGGGTGGGGGGTGGGGGTGCAGCAGTGTGAGCGGGAGCCCTCTCTCACACGGTGCCTCGCCTCGGCTGGAGCATGCTGTTCCCTCCCGTTCAGCAGGGCCTGGTCTGTGCTCCTCGGGCCAGCTAGCTGGTCATTCCTATGCTGAGCATGTATTTTCTGTGTTGAGTGGGCGGATGACCCTTATGGGTTAGGCACACACACGGGCCCTGAGAGGCTGTGCTCAGTTAGCTGTGGTAGTTGAGTGTCCACACAGAAAGCATGATACGGGACAGGCACATCACTGCTCGCTTCAACATTATCTACACTGGTATTTTCCAATCTCGGTGTTGCAAAAATGCACCACCTGTGGACAGACCCATGGGATAAGTGCTTCACGGAGAGTGGGGAGTGTCTGTATGTGAACATCCAATAAAGGAATGTAAGGATGGAGTGGTTTCTCCATGGTGGGAAAGAGTCCTGAGCAGGCAGACCGAGACAGACACCTTTGGAGCATTTCACATGAGTGTGGGCCTCAGGCGAACTCCCTCAGACAGAGCTCAGATCTACAGAGTTCTCCTTCCTGCCTGTTCACAGGATAGTGTTGGGCTCTGAGCATCTCCTATCCATGCTGCCACCTTGGATACTTTGGGCAGTGGTCAGGGGAGAGGACGGTTTCCTCAGAGATGCACCACAGTTGGGTGTTAATGTGCCAAGATGCCTGTATCCACCCCAGGGACAGTGATGCTACCACAGGACTTAGAGACATAGCCCTGCTCATGAGGAGCACTCAGCTCACAGCACCTGTCTACAGAGCGAGGATAGGTACGCAAGCTGTCTTTCCCCCAGTATACAAGGTACCAAGAAGCCCCATTTGGCTAAAGTTGTGGCACATGTGGATCACAAAGCCTCAGCAGGCTCAGCCCGACAACAGTGATTTTTCTGAGAAACTTTGGTTGTGCTCAGGGGCCCAGGCCAGTGCTGAGAGCCAGGGGACAGGACTTGTCCGTGTGGGCTCCACCCTCACAGGGAGTTGGCATTGAGCAAACTGTTACACATGCAGTGACTGGTGACGAGGAACGTCAGGAGTGGATGGAGGGAGTGCGGGAGGCAGAGAGAGTAGGGACCTGGAACCACAGCTGAGCTGAGGAGCCGTGGGCTGCAGTCAGGGTGGGGGAAAGGAGGGCATGGACAGACAGAGGGCCCAGAAGAGACTCCCGGACGCTGGGATGGAGGCTTAGCTAACTCCAGGATGGAAAGAGCAACGTGAATCAAGGCTCAGGCTAGCTGTCCCCTGCAGTCCTTCGGCACAGAACAAGAACCCCAACATCTAGATGGACAGGCTACAGCCCAGCTTCGGCTAAGGGGTGCCCAGGCAGGTCTTGTCCTGTACGACTTAGGCTGTCCTTGGCTCGACAGGTCCCTGTCCCTTTCAGCAGCCCTTATCACATGGCAATGAGATCCATACCGACTTTCAGGAGGGAGAACGAGAACGTGGCTTGTCCTTTAGGACCCCTAGAGACAGTACCATCTATAGAACCATTGGGGCGGTACCAAGGAGGAGATGACTAGGTCTGGTGGTCCTAGCACTCGGGAGACTGAGGCAGGAGGATTGCCAAGAGCTGAAACTAGCCTGAACTACATAGTGAGTTCCAGACCAGCCTGGGCTATAGAATGAGGTCCCAGCTTTAAGAAAATGTTTTTATTTTATGTTCAAGCTATCTGTGTATTATTTCTCCTGCAGTTGTACATAAAATATTTTTACATTCGAAAAAAAGGACAAATACTATGGAATTGCATTACATGAAATATATAGGATATACAAAAAAAGAAAAAAGAAAATGTTTTTAAAAGAAAAAAACAGCAAGTGCCTACCTGAAAGCTCTGCCTGGTGCAGGACAAGGGTAAGGGTGAAGGCGAGGAGGAGGCCCCGGCGCAGCAAGACGCAGCCAGCCATGCTGACCCAGAGCCCGGCTGGCCCAGGCAGGGCAAAGTCTGCAGACAGGCAAAGTCCAGGGCCCCGGGAGGCCCAGTGGTCAACATGTGCCTCAGAACACATAGAGGGCTAGAGTGAGTGACCCGTGGACCTAGATGTCGATGGCTTGTGTAGGAGATGCACCCCCGTTATGTTCCCTTCCTGCATTTACTGTCAGCCAGGGTGGGAGGAAAAGGTAGACATGGAGGTGCAGGTGGCCTTCTTTCCCTGCAAGGCGCCATCCTGGGTCCGGACCCAGCAGTGAGTGGGAAGGACGCCACCACAAGGAATGTGTAGCCTTGCAAAGGAAGGGCATGGAGAACTGACAGGGGGAACGAGACAGTGACAGATGAACAGGGGCGGGAAAGCAGGGCAGGCGAGGTCTGAAGGCTGGTGGACAGCGTGTCTACCCCAGAATCAGCTTCTCCAGTCCATCCAGGATACAAAAAAACACTAAAGACATCTGGGGCTCACGTTCCTCAGCACTGGGAGGGGCATGGCCTCTGTGAAAGCCTCCTCCATCCGGAAGGAAGTCTTTTCTCTTGCCATTGGCTAGGTCTTGTTTCTGGATGAGGAGCAGAGCCGAGTGAGGAGGCTGCCTCTGCGCTCAGTCTAGAAACCATCATCATCATCTGTTCTGGGAATCCGTACTCTCATCACCAGTATCGCAGGGAACCTGGGTCCCCATCACACCCCAGGGAGCCTGTGCCCACATTACCAGCACCACAGGAAGCCAGAGCCACAAGGGGAGATGCCTCGCTAAATCTGGGGTTCCCATTCTTGGCCCCTGACACTCAGGATCTGGGTGCTGGCTTTTCTGTTTGCTTTGAAATTATTGGTGATTCTCTTAATGCTTGTAGTGGTGAGCAAGGTCTAATGTGATGTGCTCGTGAGTAAATTCCCTTTTCAGTGTCTACTCCGGTTCCCCATGAGCTGACCCCACACCCACACAGACTCTTGCACTTGTCTTTCTGTTGGTACGGGACCTGTGTGGGTGCTGACCTTGTCCTGGGGTTGTTGGAGACCAGGGAGTTCTTGTTCTTAAGAACAGACACAAAGTCCATCCATGGAGGTGGGTGAAATCGTGGTCTTCCCACTCCTGACCTGCATGTAGGGCCAATGGGCCACGACATGGTGTTCTCCAGTGTCCACAACACTGACCCAGCTGTGGCTGCGGAGCTGAGCTCTGCTCTCAGACCCCAGTCTCACTCTTGGTCATTATGGTTCTAGGAAATCAAGTGCTGTTTTTGTTGATTTTTTCCCCAATCTTGCAAAATCTGTTTACAAAGGACTCTGTCCAGCTCTTGATTTGGGGGGAGGTTTTGTACTGGAACCTTTAAACTTTGCTTAGGAAAGTTATGCAAAATGCAAACTATAGGAAAACTTTTGGGGGAAAAAAAGTCTATTTACTGAAAGTAGGCTTGGTTCCCACAAACATTTAACTTGGGCCTCAGAGGCAATGGAAGACTGGAGGGGGGAGACGTGCCCTGAACACCTGCTTTGGTGGCATGACAGTGTCTGGAACAGTTCCAGAAACTTCTGGGGTGAGGCTCATTCTAGAGACTTAGAATTTAATGTCTGGGATAAGGCCAGGATTTAGGCTTTGCCAAGACCTTTCTGGAGTCTCCTAATCCAAGCAGGGAGAAGGCCCATGTGTTTGGGGGTAGGGTCGCTATTAGCCCTTCATAAGCCAATAGCGTGCTCAGGAAGAAGGGCCCATGCACACTCAACACCAAATTTAGCTCAGGGAAATTCCATTCACTCTCACCAGGCAGCCCATCTTGGGAGACTCTTGTGCACACTTATCACTCAGCCTCATTCAGGAAGACACATGCACACTTAACATACAGCCCAACTCAGGGAGGCTGCATGCATACTCAACACTCAGCTCAGCAGAGTCCGTGTGCATTCACCAGGAAGACTCCAGGACACACTCAAAGGCAGCCCAACATAGGATTGGTCCTTGGCTTGGATCTGGGTTAAAGGTCCCTTTATCTTTAGACAAAGATCTTAGCCTATCTTCCAGGGATTTTTACTTTCAGTGGATGGCATGGTAGCAGCAATTCTATGTTGCCTAGTTCCCAGAGGAGAATGAGGGTTCTCTGGCCAAGCAAAGGAGTTTGTGAGTCTGGGCCCCCTAACCTAAACCACCTGCTGAGGGGCTGAAGTTCCTGTCCCACTCGTGTGTGTGTGTGTGTGTGTGTGTGTGTGTGTGTGTGTGTGTGTGTGTGTGTGTGGTGCCTATGGCTGTGGGCATTTGTTCTCAAGGTAGTTAAGCAAGTCAGTTGAGAAGGTCACACACTGTGATGGTGGGCAGAGATGACTCCCTGAGAGTCCTCCAGTCTGGTTCAGGAAGAGGAACCTTTGCTCAATTAGAGCCTGTTTCTTATACCATGAGGTGAAGGGAACATCAGATTGGGACCCAAAGAGTCTACCACTGCAGGTGGGCAGCTGCCCCAAGAAACCTCCTGCTCAGGCGGCGGCGGCGACATTCACTAACACCGTATGTGACCCAGCAGGTCTGGAGAGCAACGGCTTTAATGGGGAGGGCTTGAAGGACTTGACCTTGGGCTCTCAGACGTGGGCGCCACCCTGGCTTTCATGGACTTGTCTATCCACTTGAGGAAGGCCGTGACCTTCGTGTAGACCCCGTACTTCCCTTTCCTCGCACACCCTTCTCCCCAGCTCACGATGCCAGTCACAAAGTAGGTGTCCTTGAACCGGGTGACGTGGGGGCCCCCGCTGTCCCCCTGGCAGGCGTCCTCCAGCTTGGCGTCATAGCCAGCACAGAACATGTTCTGTGTGATGCTGAAGCTGCTGGAGAGCTTACAGGTGTTGCGGTCCACGTAGGGCACCTCCAGCATCTTCAAGATGTTCGACTGGCGGCCCTTCTCGTGTGTGCGTCCGAACCCGCTCACGATGCCTGACTTCTGTGTCATCAGGGTGGCCTCGGCCCAGTCTTTCTGGGGCAGGCAGGCGGGGGCCACGTTCATGCGGAACGTGATGGGCGTCTTCAGCTTGAGCACCGCGATGTCGAAGTCGTAGGTCTCCCTCACGAACTTGTTGTGCTTTATAACCACATCTACCTCGTGCGACATCTCATTGCCTTCCTCCTTCTCTGTGTTCCGGTCGCCTGGAGAGAGAGGGAGGGAGGGAGGGAGGTGGGGGAGGCGGGGGAGGCAGTTAGTTCTCTGAGGGCCAGGTGTTTGTATATCAGCTACCTTTAAAGAAGCATGTCTTCAGTCCCATCAGGAAGGAGGCAGAAGCAGGAGGATCTCTAGGTGAGGTGGAGGCCAGCATCATCTACATAGTTAAGTTCCAGGCCAGCCAGGGCGACATAACCGGATCCTGTCTCAAGAAAGAGGGGGGTGGGGAATGATCTGGTTGGTTTTAAGTCACATTGACACAGACCAGAGTCATCAGAAAGGAGGAAACCTTAATTGAGAAGATGCCCCCAGAAGATTGGGCTGTGGGCAAGCCTGTAGGGCATTTTCTTAGTGATTGATGGGGGAGGGCCCAGCCCATTGTGGGTGGGGCCATCTCTGGGCTGGTGGTCCTACGTGCTATTAGAAAGCAGGCTGAGCAAACCATGAGGAGAAAGCCAGTAAGCAGCACCCTCCATGACCTCTGCATCAGTTCCTGCCTCCAGGATCCTGCCTGCTTGAGTTCCTGCCCTGACTTCCTTTGCTGAGGAACAATGATGTGGAAGTGTAAGTTGAATAAACCCTTCCCCCGACCCCACAAAAGAAGTTTTTTTCCTAATAAAAAGACCAAGTTGAGAAGTGTGTGCTTGTACTCCTAGCACTCAAGGATGAGGCAAGTGCCTTGCAAATTCAGGAACAGCCTGTCCTCCGTAGAGAGACTTAAGGTACTTAAAAGGACTTCTGTCTTCCTTCCAGGGTTTCACCTTCTGATCATATTTTTAAAGACTCTTTTTTAAAAAAAAAAAAAAAAGGTTTATTTTATTGTATGTGTATGAGTGTTTACCTGCATGTATATGTATGTGTGCTTTGCACATGCCTAGGGCCTGTGGAGACCAGGGCATCAGATCCCTTTTGAACTGGAGTTACAGACAGATGTGAGCCCCCATATGGGTTCTGGGAACTGAACCCAGGTCCTCTGCGAGAGAGCGGTCAGAGCTGTTAACCACTTAGCCGCCTCCAGCTTCCTGACTGTATTTCTGTGTGAAGGTTTCGGACTCCAGTTCTTTCTAATTCCTCATGCCTTGGCAGATGTTCCCTGAGTATTTCCTGCAGGCTGAGTCCGTCAATCTGCTCAGAGCCCAGGGTCTCCTATTCCAGACCTGGGCTGCGGACCCAGCCCTGACCAGTCTGAGTTGAGATGAACCAAAAGTGCAGAGCTGCAGACCGTGCGGGGAGCATGCAGTAACATCTCAGTCACAGCGCTGCAGACTGTGAGGGGAGCATGCAGCAACATCTCAGTCACAGCGCTGCAGGCCTTGAGGGGAGCATGCAGCAACATCTCAGTCACAGCGCTGCAGACTGTGAGGGGAGCATGCAGCAACATCTCAGTCACAGCGCTACAGGCCGTGAGGGGAGCATGCAGTAACATCTCAGTCACGACTGAAGTTGACTTGTTTCTATACACACGGGAAGTTAAGGCTTTGGACACATAACGTGAAACAAGACACCGGACTAGCCTCACCTATCTATACTTGTTAAATCTGGAGCAGAGGGACTGGAGAGATGACTTAGTGGTTAAGAGCACTGGCTGCTCTTCCAGAGGTCCTGGGTTCCGTTCCCAGTATCCACATGGCAGTTCACAACTGTCTGTAAACTCCAGTTCCAGAGGACCTGACACCCATGGCCAAACACCAATGCACATAAAATAAAGTTAAATTAAAAAAATTGAGAAAAAATCTGGAGCAGAGATACGTCAGACATTTTCAAACTGCGTTTGAGGTTTGTGCTGGATTTTCACTGGCTAGCTTGTGGGTCTTGTAGAAACATCAAAATGAACTAAATGAT